GACTCAGTTGAATTTGGAAGAACCACTTAAATAAGAGGCACAGTTTGATGAGTTTGATGTGTCATCCAGCATCATTAAGTCTTTGATGCAGGATAAGAAGTGACAAATTCATATGATATGTAATGAAGATTGCACCATGTGTGGTTTTCAGTTGCTAACTCATATTGATCATCATAAGTTTACCCTTGCAGAGGAAACACCTACAAAAATCAATCATGGAGGACCCAAAAATCCCTCAAATCAATTATGCATATGATCAACACATCAATTGTGCTGAGTGTACAAGTTTAATGATCAACCACAGGCATGTCTGTTTGATTTGAATGTAGAAATTGTGGCAATATTTATTCCAATCATATGTATCTCATGGGGTCAGACCATACAAAACTATTATTGCTGTAAAATACATGCACAGTTTTTTCTGTGAATGCAGTTTGGTAAGCCATCAGCTTTACTATACACTTTGGATGCAATTGCTTGAAAGATATTTTCAGGGGTATGCACCAATCTTAAATCTAGGATAATAAAGCCCCCCTTAAGCTTCTTGTTCAAATCCCCCCATCCTTCTCCAGAAGAACCACCAAATATCAACTCCATTTAATGGAACCAGATTACCTTGAAGAAAATGATTCTGCAGAGAGGACACATGTTACCAATTTTTACCATGCCCACCAAATTTAATAAGCACAGAGTGAAATCTCCAACTCCTGAATAAAATATATTAATTATTATTCATTTCCTGAGACCTCTGTAATTTTTAAAATTAGTAGAATGCAATTGGGTAGAAATAATTCATTCTTGTTTTGGGAAACTTTGAACTTTCATATTGAAAATTATAATTTTAGATGCCATCAGAATTCATGGCTGGGAAACCAAACATTGACAAAGATTACAAATGAGCAATTTCAATTATTGAGGCAATCAATACACAGGCTACAAGGATGATGAGCACAAGAACACTTGAATATAAGTTATTTTTTTGGATGATACTTTCAGGAAAAAATGGTTTTCCCCCCTAAGTTTATCTTCATAGATTGTCATGTTTTCCTTTTCAAGACATATTTTTGGGCTGTTTTACCTATATGGGACCAGCTTCAATTCATTCTGATCAGTAAAAATATAAAACTTTTCTGGTTGAGACTATTACATATTTATAATTAACTTGATATCAAAAAAATAATCAAAAGATTATAAATACATTTTTCTTCATCAATAAAGCTAAATTCAATCAGGAATTTTTCTCATTTTTGACTAAACCATATCTCCATATTTAATTGTAACTATTTCTGAAATTTAAAAGTTATTGGTAACATAATAATATGAAAATTACACATCATCAGGACTCTCCCAGATATGAGAATTTGAATTTTCAGATCCTCATCAAGATAATTATGAAATATATAAAACTGGATATGCACATATTCATAGGGTCCAGAGGGCTGAAAATGGAATGGCAAGCAGAGGGGAGATGGGGACAGGGGGTATGAATCTTCACAAATCAGGGGGGAGAAATTGTATTGTATTTTTCAATGGAAATAGATTAATTCACTCAGGATATAAATATAAATTTATTTCTATTCCCACTGTACTTCTTACTCAGCAGTGTTACAAATATCCTGAATCAAATAATACAAATTTTATCAAGATAGCAAATTAATTCAATGAATTTTGAGCTTTCTGGGATGTTTTGTCCTTGTATCCATTTATATGAATGAATCTTATCATCTGAATTTTGTCTTTCTTGAATTTACTAAGAATTTTTCTTATCATTTCCAAAATTATGAAATATATATTTGGAACTACTTCAATTGTGGTGGAATCATAGAAATTGTAAAAATATATAGATAAATGCTTCAAAAAGTGGGGATACAGATGAGATACAGGTTGGATATAGCCAGGTTAGGCAAGAGATAAGTGAAGGCACCTCTATAAAAGTTCCACATTTTTTTTCCTGGTGTCTGTTACAATTTTGCAACACATAAATCACAACTCATTCAAGGGTTGCACACTAATGGTTGCAAATTTCCTTGAAGGAAGGCAAAAAGGTTGCAAAATATGGTTTGTAAAATTCAATTTTACATACCTTGTTGTGCAATTTTGCAAAACATAATTTACAACTCATAGATGGGTTGCAAACTAATGGTTGCAAAATTCCTTGAAATAAGGCAAAAATGTACTTTTGCAAATCATATTGTTTGCAAGACATAAGGGTTGCAACATATGTGCCTTAAAATTCTACTCCATGGGGCATGGGTTGCAATTTTAAGGCACATATTTTGCAACCCTTTTTTTTGCAACCCATATTTTTTGGTGATGGTTTGTAAAATTATACATTACCCCCATAAAAATGTAATTTTACAAACCATCTGATTTACAAGACATATGTCTTGTAAAATATAGTTTGTAAAATTACAGCGACCCATTGGATTATGAGTAGGACTATGCATGAAGGCACCAAGGTCGATGACGTCAAGGACCAAGCTTGCCCCGCGTTTGCAAAAATTTCGATGGCCGTAGCCAATCGCCGGTCTCGGGGAAAGTCGCATCGAGACTTCTCATCTTCATAGATTACTCTTGACCGAGTTAGACTTGGAGTTCCGACCACAGGCGACTAGCTCAAACGATTGGCACCACAAGCATCCATCGACCAGGTCTACATTTAGGACGATGTCTCCATCTTCTCTGCGCGATCGAACCATCAATCTCGGTGCCGGACCATGCACCCTGCCGACATCGATTCTTGAAGTAGCATCCCAAGGCTTGCTCGACTACGAAGGGACGGGGATGGGCTTGGTTGAGCTATCGCATCGCTCGAAAGACTTCCAAAAGCTAAATTCGAATACGATCGACAACCTACGAACCCTCTTGACCGTCCCAGAAAATTTTGAAATCCTATTCATGCAAGGTGGCGGTTTGACTCAATTCTCGTGCGTGGTCATGAACCTCGTCAACCAGTTCAGACTCAAAAACAAGTCGGATCCGTCAGATCAAGTCGTGGTTGATTATCTGATTACCGGAAGTTGGAGTCTCAAGGCCTCTAAAGAAGCTGCAAGACTTGGCTGTCAAGTCAACGTTGTCGCGGATGGTCGTCAATTTAGTGCGGACTCGAAATCGTTCCATTCCATCCCGAATCCGATAGATTGGAAGCTATCCCAACAACTCGATCAGCCTAAATCAACTCCGGCGTTCTTGTACTATTGCGATAATGAGACAGTCCATGGAGTCGAATTTCAAACGCCCGGATTTCCAATCGACCAACTACCCGAAGCATATCAAGAGAAAGTCCCTTTGGTCGCTGACGTGTCATCCAACATCTTGTCTCGTAAAATATCTCCTCAACTTTGGAAACGGCTTGGGATTGTGTTTGCTGGAGCTCAAAAAAATATGGCCCCATCTGGTCTAACGGTCGTCATAGTCCGGAAAGATCTAATCACCAACCTCGACGAGGCCGTTCCATTTGGAGGACTTCGAGTGCCAGATATGTTGAGCTATAAAAACATGGCCGATCATCAATCGCTTTACAATACTCCACCGATGTTCTCAATCTATGTTTGTAATTTGGTCTTAAAAGATTTGTTGTCGAAGGGTGGAGTGGAAGCGATCGAAGAGATCAACAAGGAAAAATCTAAATTAGTTTATCAAGTAATTGATAATAGTCAAGGTTTCTACATTAATTCGATCGATCAAAACGCTCGGAGTAGGATTAATATCATCTTCAATTGTCGAGGCGGGCCGTCAATCGAAGACCAATTTGCACTTGAAGCTGAAAAGTCTTACGGAATCAAACAAATCAAAGGTCATAGGTTAGTATCAACCTTGAAGGCTGTCTGTGCTCTTTTTTGTCCAGCTGTCGAATGTTTTTTTTTATGGTTAACTTTGCTGTTTAGGTCGATTGGCGGCATTCGCGCTTCGTTATATAACGCAGTCACTTTGGATCAAGTTAAAGTGTTATGCAACTTCATGAGAGAATTTATGTCCAAAAATTCAACATAATTCTGCAAGTACAAATCTTTCCGACGTACACAATCTCCAAAAGAAATCCAACAAGCAAAACCTCTTGAAATATAACGAAATTGCAATCTTTTCCGACAAATTTGCATTCTACTTGGCATGCAACTCATGAAATCAGACAGACTGAACGACAGAAGAACACTCGTCTCTCCTGCCCATTTGCATTCCCTTTTTTTGTCTTTCTATCTCTCTCTTAGATGCAAGGGCAACACAATTCCTGTTCCTCTTCCCTGAGTCAACTTTAACTCTTTGGTTAGTCAAGTTCAATTCTTTAGTTAGTTGGTTGACAATCAATGTATCTACCTCTTTGATCTTACGACAACAAAATGCTTGCTCTACATAGCTTAGCTAGTTTTTTCAGATGCTTTCATAATTCAAAGCAAGTTCTTACATATTTCCCTGCAATTTCGATGGTGGGCCGTGGTCAGCACTTCATCTGCATGAACGATCAGGTGCGCTATATCGTTGCTTTCGTGAAGACACGTTCTCCATGAACATCAATCAATTCACAAGGCAGCGTTTGAGCGCGCAATAGTGCGGTTCACAGACAACCAATTTGGCAGGACCGTCTGGATAAACCTCGACTTGAGGTTTGTCGAGGCATGTCCAGTCACCTGTCCAGATGTTCAGAGACGTGCACAAATGGTTACGCCAAAACAAGCTGACATGCCTTCAAAGTTCAACCCATTGATGGTGCCCCTCTAGTTCATGTGGACGCTAGAGTACGCTGGTACCGGCTTTGTAGTATGTATGTTCTTTGTACATAGAGCTCACAAAAAGCGGGCGCCACTCAGTCCGAAGCCTTCCCACCGGATAGCGTTCCTCCGAGGCTGCGAGCATGAAGATCTTGTTAAAGTTGTGTGTGTAGCGGCGGCGCGTGCAAGTTGCAACGGAGACCGGCTTGCCGTCTCAGAAAAATGGCGTGGAGTCTGTAAACACGATACATAGCAACGTCAAGCCTTATTTTCTGCTCCTACAACATCAGGTGGATGTTCGTACTTGAGCATATCCGCCTGTAGTCCACCGATGAGTTAAGTTGGGCTTCATCTGCTTGACGAAATCAGCGACGGTACCAATATTCAACACGCGCAAGTGACACTCACCTCGCAACCGGCTTGCACATACTCCGGATCCACATGTATGTATCAAGCCCCGCCAAGTTTTTGGGCTCGGTGGCATCCGCCATATCCATCAGCATGAAACAAAGGCGGCATCTTCACGACGCGCTAATCCATCGCCGCAACCTCTCGGGGCCTCCCTGTGTCAAGATCTTTATAAAGAGCACAAGATCCGGCGTCCGTCTCCAACCCCCCAGCAACCATTCCCCACAGCTCATTTCCACGCTAGTTGGCTAGATCTTAGTTATATTTCAACTTGAAGTTGACATCTTTTACCACGTATAGATATTGCCCCGTTGTTTCGTCCCTGGTGAACGAAGACTCTCTATAGCTAATAATTCAATTTCTTGTCCCCTAATCCAATTCTTGGTAGACAAGTTCAAGTTGTTGGTTCCAAAATAATATCTCTCTCTCCATTCCCCGTTATCCAGATATCCAGATCTCTATATCCATATATCAACCCGTGCTCTTATCATCAACCTACAAGCTTCATCAGGATGTTATTTACCCTCAATTTACGGTTACTTGGCTTTCTTACGCTCCTAGTAGCGGGCGCTTGGTGTGCTTTCAGCGTGAACGATTTCCCTGCTGGGCTCCCGCGTCCAAGGGGTACACCAAAATATTTGGCCCTCGCGTTTGGTACTCAACATTATACTTGCCAAGGTGGGATATGGACGCCTCATGGTGCACGTAAGCTAACTTAATGGTTCTCTACCTAATTCGAGAGGAAAGCTAACCAACCTTTTGATCATCTTGTTTTTTTCTCGCATCACTTTTCCGGGCGAAAAAAAGAGGCTACGTTAACCGCTGAATCGTTGCCTAGGTCGCCGAAGAGTCCAAGGTCGACTATACCTGAGTCTGACGAGAAGAATACTCACAGAAAGAAGACTGGTGGGAAGAGGACTGGCGGGAAGAGGACTGGCGAGAAGAGAACTGGCGGGAAGAGAACTGGCGGGAAGAAAACTGGCGGAAATAATACTGGTGGGACCAGTAATGGCGAGAGGAATAATGGTGGGAAGAATACTGGCGGGAGGTCTGACGGGAAGCACCGTTCGACCGTCGGACATCATTACTTCGAACTACCACAACAACCTACATTCCAAATTAACGGTCTTGGCACAATCGTGGCTGAGAAAAAGAAATTTGTCCCCTCTCCATACCCGGAGAAGCACGGCGTTCCTTGGCTAAAGCTTGACGTGGTTCAGGGTACCTTCGCTAGAACAGTTTATCGGACTTCGACAGTAGGAGGTTCACCTCCCTCAACCCGGTGCAAGGCAACCGATCAGCCTCTAAAAGTGCCATATTCTGCTATTGTGAGTGATAAACACCCTCTGACACACACAAAAAAGATACAGCATACTTTCTAAGTCAAAACATAAAACCCCTTTTTAATCCATTCATTTCTTCTCCCTGGCAGTATTCATTCTGGGGCTGAATTCGGACACTTCGATCCCAGCTTAACTAGCTGATTATTGCATCCACATGGCCTTCTTCATACTATTATTGTTATCCCCAATTTCCAACACCCATACCAGTGGCAGTAGGACGTTCTGAATTTTTCACCACAACTCAAAATTTTCTTCTGTACTAATTTCTTTTTACCCGATATTTGATTCTTCAAGGACTTTTCACCTTATTATTTCGTGTGTTTATCTATTGTTTAATTGCCCTGCTTCTCTATGAACAAGTCACACCAGTCGTGCGTCTTGAATCCACCCCATCTACCTTTCTTCATCTTAAAGGTCTTGAAAGCTAGGATTCCCACATACTCTTCCCTTGATTCTGCTGTAATATGCTACTCTCACCTCATGTGTCAAAGTAACAGCTTATCGTAGATTCTTCCTTTCATATGTCGTGATATTTCTGCATTTACGCAGTTTGATAAAAATTGCTTGAGGTGAAATTCGATATAAATGTTTCTTGAGCCGGTGATGAAGAGTTAAGAAATCGCGTGCATGGACGACATTCTAGAAAATTCACCATCCTGGCTGTTCTCAAATAGGAGTGCTGGAAGCTGGAAGAATTGTTATGAGACCACTTCCAACCCACCTTCATCTTGGTTGTACTTAGAGATCCAACAACTTAGGCGATGAGTCTCTTCGATTTCCTAATTCGGGAGGACAGTCCACATCCCGATTCCCATGTCGACTTGCGCAAGCGCTGGCGCTTTAAAGGGGCCCTGCTTCGCGCGGGGGTTGGTCGTGCTTCGTTCGCCCCAAAATATCGGAACTTCGTTCAGCTGAAGAATTGGGTCCATATGCTTACAGATGACGATATCTTCTTGAACTTGCCAAGGGCAGATGTCGGTGCCGAATCAAGCTGAATCCTGTAAATTTGACCCGCTTTGGTAGCTCTTAATTTACCGTACATTGCCAAGTCAACGGATGACTACAATTACGCTTTCACATAGAGTCCAACCCAGCTCAAATCATATCTACGCACTCAGCAGACAGCCAGGCGCTTGCTACCCTTGTAGAGTGGTTTCTTGAGGAATGTTCGCTCAGGCCCGGGTCTTCCCTGGGGTCGATCGACCGATTATACACAAATATAACTCTTTTAATTGACCCACAGGCTCGCGTCTAAACTCTGTGGGAGCCCATCGACTCTTTTGAAATCGGATCTCTCACGCGAAATCAACAGGATTGACTAGCGCTTAGCGGGCTGCATCAGAATCAAGCTTCCAACAGACTCACAGAGCCTCAGAGGAGCTCCATAAACAACGGGCTGCACCCCATCGCTTATCTACCCCTAATACTCACAGAAGACCTTCAAATCACAACGCACTCAGAGTCAAACGTTCAAAGCAGCATTCATCAACTTGCGATTAGGCCATCTTCACTCACATTTTTGGCCGTCGTAATCAGGCTCAACTACATCACCGGTGCCCAGCTTCCTTCCGCCAGCAGCAAGCAACCGTTACTGTTTTCTGATTTTCTAACTTCGTCACGATGCACGCTTTCCAGTCGCCCCTCAACATGACATGCACCTTTATCATCTTGATTCACATCTTCGCAGCATTTGCCGCACTCGCCTATCCTCTAGGAAGCATGGATGCAGCTAGGAGTAGCGTTGGTGAAGCTACACATCTCTCCAAACGATCCCCTGAAGAATATGACGAGGAGCAGATTGGTGTCTTTGCGGAAGGGAACGGAAATGACAGAGATTTCATATGGTGTAAGACATAACCACACTATGCTTTTGATATCCAATGGTTCTCGATCTTCTTGCCTATAACCTAAGACACTAAAACTTTTGTCTTGTTCTATCCAGCCAAGTTTAGCTACGCTAGGAACTTCTTTGGGGCTGGCAACCCAACCAAAGAAATTGAATCAATGAGTATTAACCTGGACAACCTATAGATCATCAAGCAAGCGCAAACTCGCACAAATAAGACCTAGTGCAACAAAACCTCCAGCAAGCCCCTTTCCATATGGAACGGGACAGTTTAGGCCTACATTTCTAGCTTCTTCGACTTCTATCATCCTGCAAAACTCCCTCTTCGATTTCGGTAAAATCTTGTTTTTGTGGTCAATCCATCATCCATAGGTGAACTTAGCCGATCTCCAAATGATGTCTTGGCCTATTGCCTCCCTCTTTCCACATTTAAAACGTTCTTCAGATCACAATGTATTACCCCCGTTTCAGCTTTTTGAACCAACAAATTGAACATGTGAAATTTCTTTAAAAGAGACTTGGATCAGTCAAAATTTCTTTGAAAGAAACTTAGGTCAACAAAAATTGTCAGCTTGATGGAAGCCTAAGCCCAAAGCCATAGCCAGATTAATCACGTTTAAGCAGCTTTGCAGCTGCTACTAAGCAAGATGCAAGATTGGTTGCTCATTTTATCTGGGAACATATCGCACCGGCCTGTCTAATCATGGGATGACCTCGTGCTGAACCTGAGGTCATCAGAGATTTTTATTGAGACCTGTATGGTGTAAATTGTTACATGAAAATTTGATTCAAAGGGATCTAAAATGGTTTCTGTAATGCTCAACCAATTCACAATATGATATTTGATCATCTTGGCTCTTTCGCCTCAATTGACTTTTAGCCTTTTTCTCAGTCTCATTACTCCCCAGATGCTTATCTTTTTTGATTTTACTCAAAGTGTTTGGTATGAAGGTTGGTCAGCCAACAACTTTCATGCACAAAATATTGCAATGGCATGATTAAATAATACATTACTTTTTCTCCTTTGAGAATCCCCAAGGCCCAAGACACTAGACAGGTATGTATATCTGGACTGATTAATCTGTCTCCTATTGGAGGGATTCTGGTTTGGATCAGACAGTTGAAAAATGAAATATAATATCAACTCAAAACACTGAGAAATTGGGAAAGGAGAAAGGACAACCAATTTTGGGTTGTAAATGACAAGATTGTCCTGGTCTATGGGCAAAACTGGTCGAGTCATGGCAATGTTGTTGTTAAGAATGATAGTATGGGTGGTCAGTTCACTCACTGACCAAAGCTCATATCATATGGAAAATTTATATCCAAAAATATTGCCCACAAGCTACATTTTAGCAATCAAGTAAGTTTGTAAATCCCAACAATATCCTAACATGCTAAAAAATTCATCACACTGTTGAAATGATGAAGACAAAAACCACCACCACAGCAGTTATTAACAGAAATAGGGTGTTCCACCACAATCTCAAATACAAGGGAAACCTCCTTCCAGTTAAAATAAAAGTGAATCCAGCATAGCTGGGTGTTTTATTGTGGTGCTAAATTGCTTCTGAAGGCCGGGATTCAGTCATAAAATGATTCAGGGTTCCTTGGGTACATATTCAATTCCAATTGGGGGGATTTCTGGCCCCAACATCACCAATTAATTTGCAGGTAATCCCATCAACCAAAAGGTCTTTCTTTTTCAGTCAATATTTTCACTATTTTTCTCACACATTCTTTTTTTTTTCAGAAAATTTAGACAGTAATCACTGTCTTTGCATTAGAGGGGTGCATGATTGAAATTCAGCAAATTCTAAAGCCCATGTTAAGCTGTTTGTCAACAATATTTCCAAAAAATTAAAAAGTTGTGTGGATTGATCAAAACTCCCCAAATCTGCTCAACTAATATTTTTTTTGAAATTTTGTTGATGAAAAATTGGCTCTAAGAATTTTGAAATTTCAATCATGAACCCTGCTATTAAAATTGGAAGACCCTTCAGACTTGGTTTAGGGCCTCAGGCCCTCAGTGGATATAATTCTCCACAAATTACAACTGTGGTTTTTGGATTTAAACAGACATCTGAAAGCTTAGAAAGGGCTGAAGATTTGTGAAGAATTTGTCTGATTGGACCCATTAATTCCACAGAAATATACCAGTATAAAACGAGGAAGTAGTGAAATTATCATGAAACCAAGACATCTTCTTTTTTAAACTTTTTTGTGTACGTTAAGACCGGGAATCCATCAAGTCTTCAACGTATCTTCTCACATAAACCCTATTGGGGAACAAGTGCCAACGTGAACTGGCATAGTTCTTGGGTGGATTATACAAGCCTCAGTTTTCATTCTGTCGAAACAAAATCACAGATACCATAACTCATTACAACTCTACGTCAGGTCTCAAACGTGGATCAGAGAACTCCATGTGTGTATGTAATTGTACGCCAAGGCTACAAGATTGATCCCCGCATTGAACTGAAGAAATGACAAACAAAGTCTGGAATTCGAAACAAAAGTGCCGCTTTAGGTAATTGGTGTAAGTGAAAGATTTAGCGAAAATGAAACGATAAGCAGGATATTCGCGTATCTAGGTATGTAATATAGAAAAAAAGAAGAATAAAAAAAACTGGCTCATCCATCACCGTAGTAATGCAGACCAACACTCGATACCAGACACAAGCAATCATCCAAGCCCGGATCGGCATACTGGTGGTGAGCTTTGCCGTTGTCGCTTGCAGCCCGGAGATCAAGAAGGCTCCAGTGCCACCCCCTCCCGCTATGCTTTTTTGATGGCGGCCACCGGCCATCGACAGAAAAGCCATATTCTCTCGATGGCCAGCACCGGTCATCAAGAGAGGGGTGGCTGAACCCAGTTCTCTACACTTTCTTGATGAGAGGCGCCGGCTATCGAAAGAACATGCCTTTTCTGTCGATGGCCGGTGGTGGCCATTGAGAGAATGTGGCTTCTCTCTTGATCACCGGTGTCGGCTGTCAAGAGTGTGCCTCTCTTGGTGGCTGGAGAGCTACAGAGAGCTAAAGTCTTGATAACCAGGACTAGCCCCCCCTCTTGATGGCCAATACTGGCCTTGATGAGGGTGTAGCTCCTCCCTGAATGACCGGCACCCGCCGTCAAGGTACCGGCCTTTGAGAGTGTGTAGCCCTCTCGATGACCGGTAGCGGTCAATATGAGTTGGTGTAAGAGCTGCTTTCCCAAATGGGATGGCCTTCATGATGTCGCCATTGCAGTGGGGGTATCCCTGACGGTTGACCTGCATTTGGGGACTTTCAATAGCAATCCGTTTTTTTACAAGTTCACAATGTCCTGCTTATGGTTTCAATTCACGAAGATTTAGAACCGATGATCTTCAAATGGTCGTAATGCACACTTCATGTGTCGCCTGAGCAAGCATCATTACACTTATCCTTTCATCGCGTTGGCCAAGCATTTCACTCTCAAGCCGATTGGAAGCTCAAGGCTAAGAGTAAGAGGTAGATGTGGAGGAGAACAACAATGATATTACTTTTAGAGTCGTCATCATCAGCCACTAGGAAGATCTAGATACTGGAAGTACCGTAGCTCAAAATTTCTGCAAGTTTGAATTAGCTCGTTTTGAAAGATTTAACAAAAATGGATGAATGTGAATTGTCCAAGGAAGCTGATGTATCGCTTGACACTATCGATACAAGACAATCGAATACGGCCCAAGCATCATAAATTATCAAGTTTTGATTCGACAACACTTCTGTACATCATACCAAAAAAACGGAGAATGTCACTATCGAGGGCAAAAGGGTAGGAGAAATAGTAGAGCTATCGGGAGATACAATCTGAGAGTGATAGAGATATCTATGTGAAACATAGGCTGGTCAACCTCTGGTATCTAATTATCAGATCATAGTAGTTGGTTCGCATAAAATTCAGAGAAAAAAATAGGAGAGAGGGTGATTGATCTTCAAGAAGACCCTCAAATATAACTAAGCCCAGAAGGAGTACTGTGAGAGGAACACAAAAGAAGAATCAGCACTTGTGTTGTTAGGATATATAATAGCTATACATGAAACCTCAAGCTCACGATAGCAGCGTATGGCTCCTTGATTATTTGGTTTACTGTGTTGCACTGAGGAGCAGGAACCTTTCCGCCACGCGTATAAGTCCTGTAAACCCTTGTAGCGAAGTTTCCTTGGATGGTGTTGAGTTGAAGCCAGTCAACATTGCGTTTCGAATTGAGTGGGGATGGGAAAAACCGGGCCTTCCTCAAGATAATTTTCATATGGTTGATCTCAAAAGTCGGCATAAGGGTCATGTCTGGCTTAGTCGGGGTGAAGAAGTGCTTGCCCAGGACTGGGTATGCCTTCAAGTTAGGTTTAGCTTGATGATTCTTTCCACCCCTCATTACATCGGTTGCTAGGCTGGCGGCTTTCGAGCTGTCCTTGGATATGTCAAACAAGGTAGCATCTTTCGAGGAAGCACAAATGAGGGGAAAAATGCGAAGAAATCGTTGATGTCAACCTGATGATCATCATCGTAAGTCAAGAGGCAGAGAGTTCTATGAAAGCAAGACAAACCTGCTCCGTGAGGCATCCAAGTGAGAGCATTTCCAGAGGCCGGATCCTTCTTGCACATGTAATTTTGAGTACCGTTTCCGAGCGCTAGAAATTTTAATTTCAAGCCGACTGGAGGTTGGAGCTGAGAGCCTTTCGGCATATGAAATTGAAAGTCATTCACAGTATTGGTACCGGCAGCCACCGTGAAGATTTGAAAGCACAGGAAATGTAAGATAAAAGCAGATATCATGTTGTTTATTGTTTTGTCTGGTGGGGTGGATGGTCTGGGGGATTGGATGGTATCTGTGTCTAAGTGCGTGAGTCTGGGTAACTAAAATTGATTGCCACAGATGAAAAAGGTGACTAGCTAGCTGACTTATTAGAGCTGGAGTTCAGCGAAATTGCGGGAGATAAGGGGTGACTGTGAGTGGGAATTTAGCTTATAGGGGCTGCAATTGCTCAAGATCAGCTGATATTTATGGTCTAGTGACGCGGCTAGAACTTGGAGGAAGTCAGATATCTGAAGGAAATGCAGCTCAGTATCGACAGATTTGTAGTGATGAGGAGATGGGCGATTGATAAGGTGGCACTGCTAGGCCCAATGGTCGGGCTTTTGAAGTCGAAATCGGCGCTGGTTTCGGTAATGGCTTTGCACACATTGATATCCTCCGCAATAGTCAGTCGCGAGCTCTGAATTGGACTCGGAGAATGAAGGATGTATGCTGTATACAAGATGTGGTCGTTGGGCAAGTGCGAAAAGGCTTTCGACAAGTTCTTACACCAGACCCATGGTCCCCGTTTCAGCCAATCGCCATCACTCCCATCTTGGTTCTCAACTTCATTTCTTCCCACTGACCATCGGGCCCTTTGATTTGAGCCTATAATTCCTCCGAATCGTTCCGGACTTTCGGCGTTGCTATCGACGTCGTAACAATTTGATGGTGCCATAATTGGATACTACGCCGACAGAGAACGCCCCACTCTGCAATTGGCTACATCCACCATATGGGTACATATTCAAGCAATCCCTGAAAGGGTCTAAAGTTTTGTACCCGTGATCAGCGAAGCAACTGTGGATCAGCCGGCATGGGCCATCAAGCACCGGAGAGCTCAGGCTCATTCCGACCCAGATTGAGCCGAGACCCTACGGCTTCCTTATAGGGCGCAATGGCCTCAAGCCAGCCACATTGCGCCGACACCCGTGGGGCTGTTGACTGTTCTGCTTGTTGTAACATGGCTGTTACATGCCTCTGACTCGCCGCAGCACGGCACCTGAGAGGACTCGGGAGATACGTCCAAGGGTGACTCTGAGTCTATTCTGCACGGAACTACACACTTTCACAGTCTGAGTTCCAATAGGTTATGAGCCCTTAAGGTCCAAAATTGAAATGTTGAGTAGATGGAAATGTTAGGATAGTTTAGGCCATTATCCCAGCCCCAAAAAAAGTCAACCTTATGGCAGATTGTGAGATGTAGGTCGCAAAGAGGGTGTTCTACACCAAAGCAATGTTCTGATGTCACACCGCAAACTCAAGATTCTTCGCAAGTCCCTCTGTGAATTACAGAGGCACCACTGCTGTTTCAGCGCCTCTGCCAAATTCCACATGTGGGACTGGCGTCAAGTTTGTGTTCTGCTTGTGTTGAGCTCAAGGTTGACCTCAGAGAATCTCCAATGGACCCGCGAGTGGGCCATCGGGGTCAAACTTTGACCGCCCGGGTTCAATTTTCAACCTCCAACGGACCTGCGGATCAACCCTGAAAACATCGCGGCGGGTAGTCAAACCCGCAATGACCTGCTGACTTCCGCAGGTCACCTCCCAGCTGCAATTTAACTCTTCCTCTCCAATCACCATCACCACACCTTCATCAACTGATTGAACACACCTCCATCACACCATCAATACACCTCCTCACCAACACAAAAACGGCAGCCACCAAGAATAGTCGGATTGTTCCTTTTTTTCAGTTGATTATTTGATTGTTTCCTTTATTTTGTTGGATAAACATATCATTTCTTCCTTTTTTGATTTGATAATCAGATCCTTTCTGCCTTGCTCTCTCATCACTCTGAGATAACTCAATCAAAAACAGTTTTCATTTGTATTCCCTTTCCATTAATTTTTATCTTGCTTTTTTAAACAAACTGGAAAATAAACAAGAGAAAACGATAAAGGGAAGGTGCAAGTGATCAAGGAGCTGATCAAGAAAACAACAAAGTGGAATTGAAAGCAAGAAAAAAAAGAGTAACAAAAATATTGTAATCAACTTAAAAGCAAAAGATGAGTTAAAGGAACAAGTGAGAATCAAAACAGGAGATCATCATTGTTGTCCATCCATTGGAGGATGTCCATGGTGCTAAAATTGATTGACTAGTGGTGGGGGAGGCTCCATTGACTAGTGTTGGGGCAGAGGTGTTCATGGGATACATATGTAGCCATCAATAGCCAGTCCATAATTGGAGCAGACCCGGGGACTCTATGAAATGTGATTGCGGGCCGGGGAACATGTGTCAACTGCACCCCGGACCGTTTGAGATGCTCTCAGGATGCAAGTGGTCTGAGGTGGTCCGACGGGTACTAGCACTGGAACCTGTTCCCGGGACCTCTGGGTATACCCAGTGGGTACACCAACGGTTTAGGGCTCTGGGACAGCTCTTCAGGAGCCCAAAGACCAACGGGTAGGTCAGGTATGGTCCTCAGGCCGCCTTGGAGATACCCACAGGTTTCTCGGGTTTACACTGGGGGAGGGGAAGTAGGGGCCAATTGGCCTCTACTCCTCCCCAAGCCAGGGTACCCGCCAGTATCTCCAAGGCAAGACCTTGTATTGGCGGGTATACCCTTCAATGGGTGCGGGTACACCCTTCAATGGGCCCGGGTATACCCTTTGATGGGCAAGTATACCCACTCTGAACCCATGCAATGGGGGAAGGGATGAGATGTGTTTGTCTGAGACAAAGAGTTGTCCTCTTAACTACCTGTGTTAAGAGCATTCACACTGGTCTGGTTAAGTTTTAGGTTAGGAAACCCGGGTTGGAGGTCCAGGTGTGCTAGCCTACAGTCGTCAAACGTATCCGTCTGGGTTAAAAAACCCCTGGAGGACAACTCCCCGCAAAATCACTAAATTTCAGGTTAGTGATCTCTAAATTTAGCAACCGCATGCCTGAAATCAAACATTTGGTCAACTAACCTGTTGTTAACCTTGAATCAATGTGAGTGCACAAACAGGTGCGTTGATAATCGCACCCCCTCCCCCTCCCCGCACGCCCACGCCCACGCCCCTTGGAAGTGTGTTCTTTCAACAAAACACGCTTCCGAGGGGCGTGCAGGGAGGGGGAGGGGGTGTGATTATGAACGCACAACACATCCCCCAAAAGGATACAATTATCAAATCCTTCATCACCTCTTCTTCTAAACTTTCACCTAAGTGATTAATTAGATGTAATAATTGGTGGAGATGGATCACTTTCTTTCCTGATTTGTTGCTTGCCATATTGTGTAGCTTTGCGGGGTACCTGTGGCCTGTTCCCTATACCCGCGGTGTGGAACTTTTCAAGCTAAAGAAAAGAGCTTAGAGGGGATAAGAACAACTACACAGGGGAAAATGTGAGTTGAAGAATTGGATTCTGATGAAGCTGCCCTCTTGTCAAGGCTTGGGGAGAAGTTACACTAAGAATTGAAGAAAAAGTGTGGCTATTTCTGGGGGAATCTTAGTGAGGGATTTATTACTAATGTATTTTGCAAGGCACCTATTAGAGAGTGTGAGGATGTGGGGAATTTCGGTAAGGATGAGGCTCTGGGGGATAATGGTTTCTGGGTTTAATTTCTTATCTTCTGGGGGAAAATCAATAATAATTACTTCTGGTAACTACTAGTAAGTTGTTGATGGATGAATGAGAGAGTCAAAGAGGGAAAGACTCGATGAGTTTGTATTTCTGGATGAACAAACTCAAGCTTTAAATAGTGAAAGAAAGAATGCTACAAATGAGATAAAACAGTAAAAAGCTATTCTAATCTGGACTGATGAGAGCACAGAAAGATACAAGCATGAATAAGAAAATATGCTAATAAAGAGTTTGAGAAAAAACAGAGAGCTACACTACATGAATACTAACATAAGTGATGTCTGCTAAGTAATTATCTGTTTACTTCTCTAATGCAAGCATGGGGAACAAAGTAAATGGAAAAGAGTATTCTCTATATACATGTGGGTGGTTCTGATCAGGTACTAGTGGTAAGATATCAGCTGAAATAAGAAGATGGTGTGAACTAAGTTGTATCTGAAAGACAAGTGGTTATGAAATAAATGTGGCAGACAAATGTGTAGTGTGAAATAAACATGTTGAAAAGGAGAAGAGATGAAATAACTTCTGTTTTGTGATAAAAATAACATGCAGTGCAAAAGAAAAGAGATAATGAGGACTGAAATAAATATTCTGAGGTAAGATGAGAAGTCTGTGTGGTGAAATATATATTTAGGTGATATAAGCAATGTGTAATGAGATGCAAGGTATGAAAGAAATGTAGTATGAAAGAAATGCAGAATAAAATAAATGTAGTATGAAATAAGTTTACTATGAAATAATTGTAGTATGAAATAAGTGTAGTATGAAATAAATGTTGTATGAAAAGAAGAGGATGATGAGTGAGATGAGATGAGATAACCAATATCTGGGATGAGAAAGCAGAAGTATGGGATGAAATAGTATATGTAGTCTGACTAAGTGGTATCTGAGATGAAATAACTAATGTTTACTGAAAGATTATCATCATAGAAAGAAGGTATTGAGGGAAGACTAATTTGTATGTTGAGATGTGTGTTATGTAGTATGTTGTAGATATGTAGTACTATATATTATGTTGCCAAGTGATGTGTAAACAATACTATTTTGTAACCTTCTGAACTGGATACAAGATAATGAATTATGTAGCACAAGTATATCAGGTTGTAACATCATAAAAACTATTATGTATAACTAATTTGAACTATGTATGACCTTGATTGGTCTCACCACAGCAGGTAGGTCTTGGTCACACTGATTTTTGTACAAAAGGGATGGGAATACCCTCAGGTTGGGGCGCAGGCAAGGCCAAAATTCCCGGGTACTCCGCGGGTTACAGCGCTAGTGGGTACCCAGGACCCACCGGCCAGTGGGGCGGGCTTGGACATGTGCTGGGTGAAAAGCAACCTGGCCCAATAATAGCCGGGGGTCAGCAGGGCAGGTATGGACAGCCCAGTTTGTGCTGGGGTTGGCCCAGGTGCTGCCCACTGATTATTTGGACCCTCTTTTACACCACTGCACCAATTCCAATCACTTTAAGTTTGTGTGTTGAACTGTTGTAATTTACAACAATATGCTGAAGATATCAGATGACCCACTGTGCATTGATCTTTATAGAGTTGAACACTGGTTACCTAAGTATTCTTTAATGTTCTGGAAAATCAAACTTCAAATAATGTAGCCTGTATAAGACTTTCCAATAATCTTATTGACTGAGAAAGCAACCCTTCGGGCTCCCAGTAGCCAGACTCTGAAAAAGTGCCACTTGATGGTTTATGGGACAGCCACATTATTTGAAGCTTAGCTACCCTATAGTATAAGTTACTGCTTCTCTTGAGCCTTTGGTTGACACAATTTGATTGAGTTTGATCAGTTGTAAGCAAATCACAAGGGAGAACTGGACTTTGATCCAGTGAACTGCTCTCTTTCATGACCTTATATGCCTCAAGTACTGGCATCAGAAATAGCAATTGGATGTTAGAAAGAGTAGCATTTGCCAGTGAGGTTTTTTGGAGGCAATTTTCTCTCTAGGATTGGCTCAATCCAAGACTGCCAAAAGAACTCCCAGAATCTTGATCAAGTTCAAAAATCCTCATGAGACCCAGAGATTTTGGAACATCCTGTGGGGAGGGGGGGGGGGTTGAAGGGCACTGTAAGACTTGTTGCTTTATTTGGAAGTTCCATACATTGATTAATGGTAATTATCAATCAAGGTTAGTTTTTCACCAGCCTAATGAAGGTTAACATCCCCCTTCCTTAGCCAAGCATTTCAAGGCAACAGGAAGCTCTCCGGTCAATAGTGGGATTTACAATTGAATGTTTTGCGTCTGAGTTCAATAAAATTCTTTCCTGATAAGCATAAAAATAGCAAGCCCTCAGCACTACGCCGTGACTGAACCAATTGTATTACACACTTGATAGTACATAATAATGAACCCCAAACTTAAGAGCAAAGGTGATATTAGAATAGCTATCTACACTTGTCCAACAAGAAGAGGAACACAACACTAACATTCTAAAACAAAAAAAAGAAGAAGGAGACTAGTTCCTGCTGGCATTTACAACCCCAACAGAATATGATTTCCACTAGAGATGGTTGAAGGGTATCCGTTGCGGATACCCGCCAGGCCCAATGGAAATACTCCCGAGGATTCAGGTTTGGGTGTGGATGCCCCATTCTCCTCAGAATCCTGGTGGATATCCGGGTATCTCCAAGGATACCAGCAACGGTGCAACAGATACGATACGATACGGTATCAGGTGTTTATTCGTATTGTCTCAGAATTTGAATACCCAAAAATACCAGTTTTGTGTTGTCTCACTTTCCTGAGACAATACACATGTATTGTCTTTGGAAAGTGAGACAAGTATTCAGTATTGCCTCAGATGACTGATCCCACCAAAAACGGATTTGATACACAAGATATTTGGCCGTATTGAAGAAAAAAGAAAAAAAAACAAAGACAATTCTTTTTTTTTTCATTCATAAATCCAAATCCAAGACAAATGGATTTTTCCACCAACCAAGAAAATAATGATCCCGGTATCAGGCTTAAAATAAAGACAATACAATCCAATACAAATACATTATCTGTTGCACCTTTGATACCGGTCAGAGAAACCTGGCCTTGAGACCTTGTACAGTCTCAAGGCCGGAAGGAGCCCCTTCCAGTCAACAAGGCACATCTACCTTGTTGGCCGGAAGGAGCCCCTTCCAGTTGACAAAGCACATGTACCTCGGTGACCAGAAGGAAACCCTTCTGGTCAATCGTCGGCCTCCCCCTCCAATTACCCTTGGTTAAAGGGCCGGGTATCCAAAGATACCCACTCGGATACCCGCTAAGGTGG